GTCTGACCGCGCGCTAGCGCGGACTCTCCGCGCACTGGGGCGTGCTCAGGCCGCGTGCTAAGGCGCGCATTGGAGCGTACTAAGGCACGCGTTGGAGCGTGCTCAGCCCCTGTGCAGGGGCGCGCGTTGGAGCGTGCGCTGGGTGCGCTGGGGGCGCTAGGGCATGCCCTTTCCATGATTTCTAGAAATTTTCTGGGCAGTTTCTGGGCATCTTCAAAGGCTTCAAACTTGATCTTCAAGGCCTCCTTTTGAGTCAAAATCAAAACCCTAATTCTACCCAAAACCTAGAATTACAATAATTCTAATCCCGAATTAAATTACAAATAATTTTATCAATGAATAAATATAACCGATCCATGGAACCATATAATTAACGACTGATAAGTTGATTTTTCATCAATTTATCCCTGTCATATATTATGGTTTTTGAGCAAATTTCAGTTAATTTGTCACTAGTTTTATGTGTATGTTAATCTGTTTTGTAGGAATTACAAAGTGGAGAAAGTCGAGTGTAAAAGATAAAGAAGTCCATGAAAATCTCCATTTGTGTGGGCTGCAGCGCACTAGGAGCAAGCTACAGCCTGAGACTTCCAAAGAGCATTCCAGCTTCAGGCTGCAGTGCTCCAAAAGGTGCTGCAGCGTGCCCTGCATCCGGCCTGATGCGTGCTTAGGCGCAGTTCAAGGCGCGCTTAGGTGCGCATCCCAGAATCTGCCAGGAAATTGAGACACGCGCTGCAGCGCACATCCCTATGGGCTTAGGTGCGCGTCTAGAAAACCCTAGACCTCATTGACACGCGCTGCAGTGCACGTCCATGGGCTGCAGCGCGGCTATCTTGAAAAAGAAAGTTGCTGGAAGAGGGTTGGACACAGAGAGTGGAGAATTGAACCAGAGACACGGCTGGAGCCCTAGGTCTGAAGAAAAGCAGCTGTAACCAAGGATTTCTGAGATTTTCAAGGGGATTCAAGGCAGTTTGAAGGCTTTGGAGGAGATTATCCAATAGGAGGTCTTCATTACTTTCTCCCTTTGTATTTCTTGAATTGTTTGTTTAATTTTCTGCTTAAACTATGGATCTTTGGTATTTTGTAATTGTGGATTTAATTTCGAATATGGATAGCTAATTTCCTCACACTAGGGGGGTTTGATCTAATTTAATGAAAGTTATATTTTGAAAGTCTGTTTGCTTGTTGAATGTTTTATATTCCAATCTTTTGTGTTTCTTGTGCTTAATTTCTAATGTAATTACCCATTTGATTAGAGACCCTAGATGTATGAAATTAGGCTCGGGAGAGTTAATTTTATACTTGAGAATTAAGAGATGCAACCTAAGGAGATATTGAGTCGAGAGGCTAGTATAACCTTAGGAGATCGAATATGGACTTAACTTAAAGAATGCATAATTGGTAAAATTAATAGGGATATTAGTTTAATCGATTTAGCATATTATTTCACTTAGCAGTCGAGAGAGGGAGTGAGATTATCTTAGTACCCATGATCTAGGATTGAATATAATACATTGACAAGTGACGGATTTAGATAAATATAGCATAATTAGGTGAAGTCGAATCCCCCCTAGCCCATTTTAAATATAGAGATCCCTTCGATCCAAATCACCTTCGCATCTATTGTTTACATTTTTTTTAGTCTAGTTTAGTTGTTTAATTTAGTTTAAATCCCTTAATTTAAATTAAATTATAGATAAAATCAGTTTAGATAAAGAGTGATACTTAGTTCTTCCTAATTAACAATCCCAGTGGACGATACTCGATCCTCAGATCATTATTACTTTGCGATTCGTACACTTGCGAGGACACATTAAATTTTAAGCAAAAGTATTTTCGCGTACAAGTTTTTGGCGCCATTGCCGGGGATTGGCAATTTAGGATTTAAGCTAATATTTCTGTGAAATAGATTGATTTTTTAGACCTTTATCTTTATTTTATTAACTTAACTTTTGTTAATTTAATTTCGTTCATGTATTCTTTTGGTTGCAGTGTATGCGCCGAGTCTGCAGCTTGGAGACTGTTCCTTTAGACCCAGAAATTGAGAGAACTATTTCGAGACTAAGAAGGGAACATTAGAATAGAAACCGAGTCATGGTAGAGGGTAACAACAACAACCAGCAGAGGGCTTTGAGGGATTACTTCAGACCGGTAGTGAATGAGAATTATTTTGGCATTAGGAGGCAGCCGATCAAGGCGAACAACTTTGAGTGAAGCCTGCATTGATAAATATTGTTCAGCAGAATCAGTATGGGGGGCTACCGTCTGAAGACCCCAATGTGCATCTAGCAATGTTCCTGGAGATCTGCGACACCATCAAGATGAATGGTGTGGACCAGGACATTATCAGAATGTGCCTGTTCCCGTTCTCACTTAGGGACAAGGTGAGAGGTTCGCTCCAACCAGTTCAAGCCAGTAGTATTGGCACGTGGGAAGAGTTGGCACAGAAGTTTCTAACCAATTTCTTCGCTCCATCAAAGACCGCTCATCTGAGGAGCGAGATTGCGCAATTCAGATAGATGGACTTTGAGCCTCTCTATGAGGCCTGGGAGCGTTTCAAGGAGTTGCTCATAAAATGCCCGCAGCATGGATACGAGCACTGGTTCCAAATTTAGATCTTCTACAATGGTTTGAATGGACGAACTAGGACAATTCTAGATGCAACATCAGGTGGGACGATGTTGTCCAATACCTACGAGGAGGCCGAATTATTATTGGAGGAGATGGCCTCTAACAATGCTCAATGGCCAAGTGAGTGGTCAAGTGTGAAGAGGGATGCAGGAATGAATAAGATTGATCCGTTGGTCACTCTTTCAGCACAAATATCAGCTTTGATCAACAAGATCTCAGAGTTGACCGCAAAGGAAGCCACATCGAGTAAGGAGACGGCTATGGTTGCCAGTACATCTTACACAGGTGAAGGTGGTGCTGTAGAACAAGTGTAGTATATGAACAATAGGAATTTCAACTACCGAAGCAATAACATACCGAGCAACCTGCCTACTCAGTACCACCCAGGACTCCGGAACCACGAGAACTTTTCTTATGGCAATAACAAGAATGTATTGCAACCTCCTCCAGGGTATAGTCAGCCATTATCTCAGAGCAAGCCGTCGATAGAGGACCTGTTGAGCACGTTCATTGTAGAAACCAGGGGGCGGTTCAACAAAGATAAGGCTAGACTTGATAATATCGAGACTCATTGCACAAACATGAGCGCTACTATGAAGACTATGGAAACAAAGATTGGCCAACTCCCCGACTCAACGAAGAGCCTATCATCTGGGAACTTTCCTAGTGACACTGTGAAAAACCCCAAGGAGCAATGTAACACAGTCACCTTGAGAAGTGGGAAAGAAGTTGAGGCTCCTAAGCCCCAAGAGGATAAAACCAAGGAATAAGAAGTAGAATCAAAGCAACCAAAGGAGAGTGCAAGGCCTAAGTCGATCTCTTTTCCGGATAATCCTCCTCTCATCACTCCTACCTTTTCGTATCCGTAAAGATTGAAGAAAAAGAATATGGATGCTCAATTTTCAAAGTTTTTAGAGATTTTCAAGAAGATCCATATCAACATTCCGTTTGTGGATGCACGTGAACAAATGCCTAATTATGTCAAGTTTATGAAGGATGTCATGGCAAAGAAGCGGAGGTTGGAGAATTATGAGACCGTCAAGCTAACGGAAGAGTGTAGCGCTATCCTTCAAAGGAAATTGCCTCAAAAGTTGAAGGATCCTAGGAGTTTCACTATTCCGTGTACTATTGGAGATTCTCACTTCGAGAAGGCCTTGTGTGATCTTGGAGCTAGCATCAGCCTCATGCCTCTATCGATTTTCCAGAAACTAGGGCTTGGAGAGGTCACCCCTACAACCATCTCCTTGCAAATGGCGGATAGGTCCATTACCTACCCATGGGGAATCATTGAAGATGTATTGGTAAAGGGGGATAAGTTCATCTTCCCGGTTGATTTTGTAGTTTTGGACATGGAACAGGATCGAGATATCCCCATTATCCTTGGGAGGCCTTTCCTAGCTACCAGAAGGGCTTTAATAGATGTGCACAGTGGGAACTTGACTTTAAGGGTCAATGAGGAGAAAGCCATATTCAACATCTTAAATCCCAAGAGGTCTCCACAAGAAAAGCCGACTTGCAACCGAGTGGAGGAAGTGAAATCTTTTATCAAGTTCACTCAAGAAGTTGTGCTGAAAGATTCTTTGGGGAATGGCCCCACCAATTCCCTAATCAAAAACAAATCGAGCAATGAACATTGTCCTAAGAAAGATGATGGTGGGGAGTATGTTGTTAAGAGGGTCGAAGTCATTGCCACCCCGATGAACAATGAAAAGGTGGTGGCCAAGAAGAAAGCCAAGAAGAAGCACGACCAGCGAACCTCGTGGCAAGATCTCAGTCTAGGCCAACGCGTCCTTCTTTTCAACTCTCAGTTGAAGCTCTCCCCCGAAAAAGAGGAGTTAAGATGGTCTGGACCATTTAAGATCAAGCGAGTGTCTTCATTCGGTACCATTGAGCTAGAACCAGGAGGATGAAGTCGTGTTCATGTCCAGCTAGGGACGTTAAATCAAGCGCTTCTTAGGAGGCAACCCAAGTCTCTACCCCTTTATTTGTTTTGAATTTTTTTTTTTATTTTTTTGTTAGATTAATTTTGTGTGATTTGTTGATCATTGATTTATTTTGTTGATAATGGTGTTATTAGGTTTTTCTAATACAACTTGTATGGCAAGTGTTGATAATATATATATATATATATATATAGAGGCTCGAGAGAAGGAGTGTATCAGGTTGGAGCATGACTAGCGCGATCCCAGTGTGCCGCAGCGCGCATTCTAGATTGAAGACGCGTGCCGATGCGCGCCTAAGCCACCACCAGCTCCGTACACCATGGATGAGGACCACCCTTAGGAGGCGAGACTCATATCCCGCCTCCCTGGTATTCTTCACTTACACTTTCATTGTTGGCTTGTATTTTAATAACATTGAGGACAATGTAATTTGTAAGTGTGGGGGGAACTTCTAGATGCTATCAATACTTGCTATTTTGATTATGTTTTCGTTTGTTTATTTCGTTTGTTTAATTTAGATTTTATGTTGATCATTTTGAAAAAAAAAAAAAGAATTTTTAGTGAGTTGTTTTTCTACTCCTAATGATCAATGAACCAATGATGACATTATCTCCTAATTTCTCTGAGTTTTTGTGCAATGTGTCATTTGTGAATTCTGTGTGCTTGACAATTGGTGAACATGAAACTCTCTAATTCTAACAAGAAAAGACCTTATCACTAATCATTTAGGGACCTAGAGGAAAATTATTCATTTAATCAAGTCCATGGTACATTAGGGATTCTAGAACTCAACTTAGGGAAACTTTAGGCGAAATCTTAGGCTAGCTAGTTAGCGGAGAAATGATTTAGGCATTTTCTTGGATCATTTGAGCCTTAAATAGCTAACCTATGGAAAACTTACCACTAGTCTCCCCCATTGAGCCTATGTGACCCCGTTTTCTTTCATTACCCACATAAATTAACCTAGCCATTTTATAAATCTCCTTCACTTAACCAATCATTTATGGGCATGTTTACATCATTGCATGAATTTCAAGATATAATTGTTGAGAGCAATCATGAAAGTGTTGAGCATTTCATTTGTGGTTTAGAAAAAAAAAAAATATATCCATAAATGCAAGTGCCTACCCATCACATACATACATAATTAAATATCACATATTTAATATATCAATTCTGATTATCAAATAATCGAAGCATAAATTAATATCATCTATAGACCGCTCTGATACCAATTGTTGGTAGCCAAATTGAATTCGGATGCGGAAGCATGGCGGGGAGGCGGATCGTGTATAACAAAAATTTTAAAAAAACTTTTCAGATACTCTATAGATTATATTAATTTATGCACGAATAAATTAATCACATTAATTTATATATATCAAGAACTCAATCAGGAAAAATACCTGGAAGCCAACTCAAATGATAACTTGAGTTCTTTGTCCACGAACAGTCCTTGCTCCAAGCTTTGTGTCTAGAAAATCAAAGTCTTCCACGTCAATTCCTTGATTCCACGTAGACGTGTGTGTGGGAACACGTGAGACAAAACAGGTTTGATTAAACACCCAAATTTTCCACAAACACCAACGCACGCACGATGTGGAATTTTTAGGAGTAAAATTTTCCTTCTCTTTTCCCTTTTTGAGAAATTCGGCCACATTCAAGTCAGGGCTGAATATTGTTTTTTTTTTTTTAAATTCTCATATTTAAAGAGTAGAAGTCAAACTTCAAAACAGAATCAAATCTCTATCTCCTATTTGAATTTGGAACAAAAAATCCCTTCTACCTTATCCTCTAGCGGCTGGCCATGATAGGGATTTTCTCCCTTCTGTGTGGTGCCAAAAAACAGATAGGGAAGGAAGAGAAATCATCCTTTATCCTGTAGTCCAATTTTAATTCAAATTTAAATTCGAATTTAAGTCAAACTTAAATTAATTTGAATTCTAAATTGATCAACTTATCAAATAAGTTCAAAAGGATAAATTTAAATTATGTTCACAATTCAAATTCAAATTTAAATAATCACATTATTTAAATAATAATTAATTCTCAATTAATTATTTTTCGAGTATTTAATTTCAGAATTTCGTAATTCTAAAATTCTCATTTTGCCCTTTGTGTCTGGTAGAATTACAAGGACGACGCGGGGACTAATGGACCTATAATTCTGAGCTCCAATAAAATTAATAATTAATTAAACACTTTAATTAATTAATTAATTCTATTAATTCTAATAGTTACTCCACTATAAACTTATAATTGCACTCTCGAAATTATAGACATTAATTACTTCTAAACTGCGAAGTGTCCATTTGATATAGTCATTACATATAGATCAATCCTCCATAAATAATTCATAATTAGAATCAGGTAGAATTCGTTAACCTCTCTAATTATATCTTCATCCTTAAGTACCGTTGATTCTCTAATAAATAGTGATTCATAAAACACATCCATGAACCAGAGCGCTCTTACTAATCCAAGTACCGAATCAACACTCAAGAAAATTATTTATCTACTTCTTTCTCAAGAAGGAATGGATTCCATCTCGTATAATAACATTCCCAGCTACCTATTTCATAATGTCTCCAAAATACAAGGAATAGGATTCAGGGTCTCAAAATCCGTACCGAGTAAATCAAAAGACATAAATCCATAAATAGGAGTTTGTTAAGAACTTAGGATTAAGATCATTCTATATATGACCATCGGTAGACTCAATTAGAATTTCTATGCTGAATGGAAATTATTAGAAATTCATATTGTGTCTGTGTCCATATTCCACATAATCTTATTATGCGTAATACAGTCATTCAATATCTCACCATATTAACAGTGTGGATAGCACCGTTCCATTCTAAATGGGAATGACATGTATTAATAATGTTTTAATTAAAGATTCTGAACTTTAATTAAATTCATTATGAACAATGTTTTTTATTATTATCCTTAAACACTATCCTCTTGTATATAACACTTATATACTATGTTTAAGGTTACATAAATAATCACAGAATTT